CTTCTGTAGTTGGATAGCCATTCACAGTCTTTGTTTAATCCTGAGCTGATGGTGTCACAGTCTTTGTTTAATCCTGATCTGATGGTGTCACCATCAGATCAGGATTAAACAAAGCCTGTGAATGGCTATCCAACTACAGAAGCAGTTTCTCCTCCCTTGGTGTTCACACCTCAACTGCTAGCAGAGCACCTCACCCTCCCTGATTGAACTAACCTCGTTAACTCCACACTGATTTATACCTGCCTCTGGAAATTTCCATTACTTGCATCTGAAGAAGTGAGGTTCTTACCCACGAAAGCTTATGCTCCCAGTACTTCTGTGAGTCAGAACAAAGTAAGTCACCAAGCAAAATAAAACAAAACACGCCAGTCTGAGCCTAACATATGAAGAAACTGAACACGGGTAAATCTCACCCCCAGAGAGGGTCCGAGAAGCTTGTTTCACAGGCCAGACTCCTCCCTAGCCTGGGCCCAGCCCTTCCCCGGGGACAGCCCTTGTTAGCTCCAGCAGGGATCTCAGGGGAAAAGAAGGGATGGTCTCATGACTGGCCCCCCTTTGTCCTGCGCCACCCCCTTTTATAGCTTTGTCTCTCTGGACCCCACCCCTCCTTCTAAATGGAAATGCCCCAGGTTGAAGATGGCTTCCAGTACCAGGTGACATGGTCCCATGTCCGGTGACACTTCATGCCCCACTGGCTGCACACGGGGACACAGGAAGGCTTGGAGTAAACGGAGCCGTTTGCCACCAATTGTCCTGGTTGATGGGAGCCAGCAAGATTCCACGCCCCCATTAACGGCCCCCACTTTGCATAACTCCAATAGGACCCTGGAGTTCTAGTCCATATTCCTAGTTACAGATACAAGACTGACACATTCACACCAATGCGACGCCCACACACAGCAGATTCCCAGCGATCCCACAGCCCCCCCCAAGTGTCCAACGCCCCCTGAATGTCCCAGAGGGAGGAGAATCCCACCCCCCACCCCGGGCCCCGATCTCCAAGCACTTTGATCCAGCCCAAAGGTCCATGTCCCCAGGAGAGGGGCCGATCCCCACGCCTGGGCCGGTGCCGCCCCCTCAGGGCCTGGAATCTCCTGGTCTAACGTCCTGGTAGCCCCTGGAAGGAGAGAGCAGA